ACACACACACACACACACACACACACACACTATGACAAAACATGAGAAACTTCACGTTGAAAAGTCGATGTTTCGATTTCACTGCATCGATAAGGAAACCCTGAAGTTACTGTAACTTTACCTCTCGAATGAATGAGCTGCTTGTTTCAATGTTAACACAGTAACTTAGATAGGAAGTAAATGCTGACACCACACGTATCTCATACGAAAGAGTTTACTTCTGAACGTTTGTTAGAATCCTGAATGTCATCGTCTGATGTCCTGGCGTGACACAGCGGTCCGTGTCATCTGTCCTCTGACTGGTCTCTGTCCTCTGACTGTCCTCTGTCCTCTGACTGTCATCTGTCCTCTGTCTGTCCTCTGATAGGATGTGTTTGGTGCGGATGCGTCAAGAGGGCAGAGCAGGAAAGTACATGTGCCGTTACATCGTGCACTCCATGTGGGAGGATGTGGAGCAGAGGAGCAAAATCATGGGGGTGAGTTCAGTGTGTGAGTGGACTTCTTACCTCTTGAGGACCTTTTCAGAATAAACACTGACCTTGTCGGGTGTAGGGTTCTGGGTGTAGTAGTATTTCTTCCTTTTGAAGTATTTCTACTTTTGGTCTCGTTTGCTCCTGTCAAGTTGCACAGATTCTGATTTCTTTCCACTGTTTCTGATCCGTAGATGCACATGTTTGTTAGGCAGTCCTCCCGACAGTGAATGACTTATATTTAGTTTTTTGTTGGTTTTATTTCGTGTCGCTCTATGAAACAAGCAGCTTCTTAACTTTTTCTGTGCCAGAAAACGACTGAAGTCATTCAGTTCAATAAATATTCATTATTTAAGCCACATTTCCTCTTGGGGCTGATGCAACAGTGCATTAAGTTTTACTCCTGCCTTTGCATGCTGCTGCATAGATGCAGGTTTTGTTTATTCAAAGTTTTTACATCAGCATAATTGCGGCAGCAGTTCTCCAGCAGAGAGCGTAGCCAGGTCCCCAGAGAGTCGGCCTGGCTGCGGTCGCCATGTCCACAGAGTCGCTCCTCTATTCTCTGTCAGTGGAGCAGCTCCAGGAAGTGTCGCTCGTTGACATCGCAGCCTTCAATCTTTGTCCACATGCGACTCTCAGAGAAAGTTTCTCATACTCGGATTAAACTGGAATCAAACCTGATGAGTTCATGCAGACAAAAAAACAACTTTCACCTCTTAAGACCTGAAGGAGAAAAATAAAGAGTCAAACTCCTAAAAATGCAGAATGAAAAGAATTTGTGCTGAAAATTTTTAGACGCATCCATTTGCCAAGATTTATCCCAGTACCAATACGTCTCTATGTGCCGAGCCAATGGGGCGGTGCCGTTTCTCCCAATGCTCCTGGTCCACAGTCCAACTGACGAACGAGTCTGACGTCAGTGTGTCTGCAAGAGACAGAGAAAGATGGTTGGACATGAAGGAGAGAAGTTGATGTGCTGCAGATAAGTAAAGATAGAAGCACACAAACATTGCACCCGTGATAAACGGCCTAAAAAGTTTCATCTGTGTGGCGGAAAGTCCTGAAACAGAGAAACATTTGGTGTTGATGTCGGACGCTGGTGAAAACGATCTTGAGGATGTTACTGGTGATGTTTGAAACTGGAGGCAGCGTTCAGGCCTTTAGTTTAGTTTGAGCTTATTTAGCCTCGTGTGACAGAAAGAGGTCAGAGATGAGGAATTACAGTGCGGTTCAGAGGTCACGCTCAGTGTGTGAACGCATGCATCGGACGGAACACGGTGGGGAAGCGTACCTACATACGTGTGTGTTGGGGGGGTGCTGTGTGTTTTCACAGCTGCACATGTGAACTTTTGTCAGCATGCGTCCGTACACTTGCCTTTGACCAGAACACACGTGTCTGAGAATTCAAATCTGAACTTTAAATCTATTTTCTTTATTAAACGTGATCCACAGAATCACACGTCTCGTTCTCTGAGTCTGTTAAACACGGACACGTCATACATGAAACACCCAAACACACGTTGGGACCAATGAGGAGAGAACATGGTGACAACAAGAATCTGCAAAGATGGACGACATGACAGTGAAGCCAAAGTCCTGATGCTCTGTGACTGTTGGCTGCAGTATAGTTCATAAACCCCCTTAAAACCCTGACCAATCAGATTCTTTATTTAGAAACTCTGAAAGCTCTTGGAATACGACTCAGATGTGTCCGACGAGAACGTCACAGTCGACCAAACATTTCCTCTGAGTCTGTTCGGTTCTTTCTTCCACAAAGTCCTGGCGATCATGTGGAGACTCAACATCAGGGATTTTTGTTGTCATTTGTGAAACGTTGACTAAAGTAGAACTGAACAAGTTGCTGCACATCCTCATGTTAACACACGAGACGGACTGAACTTCTGATTTTCTCACACGTCTCAAACCACAGCAGTCAAACGGAGATGAAGAGAAAAGAACATTTTATTCTGCTGTGTTTGATCGACTGTGTTTTCTCTTTCTGTGTAGATCGATGCCATCCATAGAAAGGAAGCACTGAAGGCGATGACAGAGACTTTCTATGCTGCGATATTTGGATACGACGAGGTGAGATTTCACACACACACACACACACACACACACACACACACACACACACACACACACAGTCTTATTGTGGCAGCTTGTGTCTGAAAGGTGAAATTCACCTGTGGATGTTTAAATGTGCTTATTATTTATTGTCGGTTGAGTTCAAATGAACATTTGAGATCAGGCGGTTGTGGCTCTTGAGGTAGAGCGGGTGGTCCACCAACCGGAGTGGTTTGATCACCAGCTCCTTCACTCTGTTCCTGGAATCACACTGAACCCCACATTCAACCCCGATGGCTGTGCTGACGGCGTGTGAGTGATGTGTGATAGAAAAAGTGCAGCGTATAGAAAAGCTGTATGAATTTAGTAATTATGATAAAAACAAGAAAACGTCAAGGAGGTAAAATAATCCATCACTGAAAAGTAATAAAGAACATCCAGTTACCATTCACTGAGGAATTTCATTCCTGACTTTGTCTCAACACGTGCGAAGAGACGGACGGAGACACTGTCCCCTCCTACGACACTCGTTCTTATTTACGTGTTTTTCTGCTGCTGTTGTGCGTCGGTACAAAGCGCTGATTTAATCGTGGCTCATAAATGCAACACGTTAACCAGGAGTCATTCCAGCGCCGCCGATCACATCATTATTTTATGACCATGACGTCGTCTGACAAAATCAACAAAGTGGAGTTAATGACAGCAGCTGTGGCGTGTGATTGGTCGCGCTGACGTTTAAAATGAGCGAACAGGGGGATGTAATGGCACACAGCCTCAGACCCTCGCTGGGCACATCGATCATCATTTAGCACAAGTTGGTGGAGTTGGAAAGCAGAGAGAAAAATATGCATTAATAAATGTTAGCGACCGTAATGTGCACACACTCTGTCGGCAGATAGAAGACGTCATCCAGCAATAAAACTGTTTATATTACCACATGTAAATGAGCTGCATATCTGCTTTATGGAAAATGTCTCACGAGCCAACACTGTCGAAGTCGTGTGTTTGTCTGAGACCAGGAAGGTTTTCTGTAGAGATGCAGCCAAAACACAAATGTTCTTACATTCAGCTTGATCATATTCATTGTGACTTCATCTTTATTTGAGTCTCACTGAGATCAAGAGATGAAGAAACGTTCTCAAACAGCAACAAACAAGTAAACACCAGTTTAAACAACTTCACATCGGAAACTTTTAAAATCCCCAGAGAGGAACGTAAGACTAGTTGGAGATCTGCTGGCTTCAACTGCTGATTGGTCAGCCACTAACAGGAAATGCCTACGCTCTCACTAAACGTGTGTTGTGTGTTTGTGTGTGTGTGTGTGTGTTGTGTTGTGTGTGTGTTGTGTTGTGCGTGTGTGCGCGTAGGGAATCCTGTCTGACGACTGCGTGCTGGCTGCAGCTCTGTGGAGGAACCTGTTCAATCGTCAGTGTGAAGACCCCAAACAGCTGGAGCTCATGGTGGAGTACGTTCGCAAACAGGTGAGTTCACGTCGTGGATTGTTTATAAAAACTGACGGAGACTCCGGTGAAGTGAAGCCAGTGTGGAAACCTGTCTTCTGTGTAGTGACCAGCAGGGGGCGTCTCCTGTGGTAGTTTCTATAGAAAACGTCTCTTCTCACTTTCTAACGTCAGTAAACTTTGTCTCAGTCTCAAGTCGTCTTCAAACAGCTGATGTTTGTTTATCAATAAAATCATTTAGAGTCAAACGGACCAGAAAGAACTGGATGTATGGGGGGGGGGTACCACAGTGTGATTGACAGCTGGTACCGTCCAATGGGAGCAGGTGTAGGCCCTTAGCTAACAGCTAACATGACGTGACAGAGTGATGCATCGTGAATCCCCTAAACAATCTTTGCATGTAAACAGGTTTTCTTCTTCTCTGTGTTTAATCGTGGCAACATGTGCCTCTGCATGAAGTGGTGAAGGCAGCGCCCCCCTCAGGAGGCGTCAGTGCAGTGCCAGTGTTGTGACCGTGCTGCTGCTGCTGTTTTCAGATGCAGTTCATCGACGCTCTGGAAGGAGAAGACCTGCTGCTGACTGGGGAGGTGAAGTGGCGCCCTCTGGTGGAGGAGAACGCACAGAGCATCCTGAAGGTGGTAAAGCCCACGTACAACGACGCTGGACTGTGAGATGAAGAGAGGGACTTCCTGTTTCCTCCGCTGACGTCCTCCTCTCCCGCCGGTTTTCACGTGTTGATTTCCTTTTCCCGCCGTCTCACCCTCCATCTCTGTTTGTCTCTGTCGTCCCTGTCCTCCGCTCCTCTGCTGTCCAATAAGGTGGGGTTTTAAATTTACATGACATCTGTAGCTTTCTCCTCTTCCTTTATTTTTCTCTTTTCTCCTCTTGGATTCACAAACCTGTTTCTCCTCCTCCTCCTCCTCCTCCTCCTCCTGAATGCTCTGTCCAATCAGGAGCTAGTTTCAGGAGGAGCAGTAAAAACAGGGCGGAGCTGGAAACATGTCATCGTCGTCCTGTCGGTTCTGAGAGCCTCGCTGCAAACACACGCACTGTATTTATATTTTTCTCATTTTTTCCATGAACGCCAGCCGTGCTGTATTTATGAAGTATTCTTTACCTCCGTGTTCACACCCTCCTCCTGCGGAGGTGCTCGGCGTCTGTCTGTTCCCTCACTGTGCGTTCAGTGAAGTCAGGTGACGGCAGATGTTCACATTTCTCTTTGTCAGACGTGTCGGTGTTCCCGTCCGTCTGACTCGACGCTCTCAGAGCCGAACAGGAAGCTGAGCCTCGTTCGTCAGTTGTAACAAAAACAATGAGGTTTATTTTTTTTTTGTTTGTTTTTAAAAAGTGAAACAATAAAATGTTCTGGATGAAACTGACTCGTTTAGTTTTTTTAAATGTTTAATGATCCTGATTTCTTCAAAACGTTCAACGAGACGATTGAGTCACAGCGACCTCCTCCTCAGGATGTCGTCACCTGGTGCCCCTACAAAATAAACCTCCAGAAATCTTATCACCAACAGAATCAAAGTTTGTAGAGAATCTTCAGGAGCTGATCACAGTCAATTCAGCTGCTTTTATTTTGACAAACTGAGAAAGGACATCAGCTCCAGTCCGAGGCTGTTTTCACTGTTTCTGTCCCGGTGGCTTTCATTTCCAATTTCCTGGACACGTCACACTGAATGAAAACATTAGTAAAACTCTAAAATACACCAACATCTAAGTAGTCACCGCGTGTGGCAGCAGGGGGCGCTGTTTATCCCCAGTGAATTAAATAAAAAATGATCTGTGACATGAACCCCCAGTGTGATTCTGCGTGTGGCCTGTAGATGGCGCCACACTTCACTGTTAAAGGCAGGAAACTTCTGCAGCTTCTGGAAGAATTTATTTCAAACGTGACACAGATTTTAAAAAAACATCAGCTCAGAGATGAACAACTAATTCAAGATCAGATTATCGCAGCGTAATGAAATAAAAAGTAAGTAAATGTGTAATAAAGAATAATATACACAGTTTAAACTGAAATGTTGAGAGTGAAATGGATCCAACACTAATTTCAAAGACAGAAATGTGTATTTTATTTCTTCATCCCACTGTTTTCACCTGTCTGTTGGTTTGTCTTTATTTTTGAATTGATGAAAGAATCTTTATATGAAGTCACAAACCTTCAGTCCAGTAAATGAAGACGTGTCGTACGAGCAGAGACACACACTTGTTGTCATGTCACAGTCACACAAAGACAAAGTGTGAAGTTTTATTATTGTGTCTCTGTCACTCATGAGTTCTGATGAAATGATTCTGTTTTCTGCTTCGTGCTGTGAAGAAGATCTGTCACGAAACTATTTCTTCCTGTGAGTGTGTGTGAGTGTGTGTGTGTGTGTGTGTGTGAGTGTGTGTGTGCGTGCGTGTGTGTGTGTGCGTGCGCTGCAGCAGCAGCCTCTTCCTGCCTCATTACAGAATCAGGTTTAATCTCATCAGAAAAATAAATGATCCTGCAAATGTGTGTGAGCACAAACAACATGCATGAACAAGCCGAGGTGTGAGAGGAGCACGCAGTGAGGTGCATCCTCTGAGGACCGAGATAAAAAAGCTTTTCCTGAATCCTCCTCAGCTCAGTTGAAAACTCAGTTTGCAGTCGAAGTCGGTCTCCAGGGATCCCGAGGAACCAGGTCATCACCAGGTTCCTCGGGTCATGACCTGGTTCCTCGGGGCCCCTGGAGGCCGAGTCGCTCTCTGCCGTAGAGCTGCAGCAGGTCAGAGCAGGTTCTCAGTGAACGTGTGTCCCTGCCCCCCCCACAGGGCTTCACCTGCCAGCTCCATCACACCTGCAGCTCGTTGACGTGTGACTGAACTCGCTCACTCGTCCTCCTGCAGCTGCTTCGATCCTGTGACCGCTGACTCTGTTTAAATGACACGAAGAAGATGCAAATGTCCTGCGACAGTCCAGAGTCTCCAGTTTCCAACATGTAAACAGTAAAATGAGCTGAAGCATCAACTGAACGACATCATAGAGGAAACAGACGTGTTTATTTACATTTGTCTTTTTCTCTTCAGTATGAGATGCATCACATTTTCATCAGATCTGGAAGCAGTGACATTGTTTTCTGTGTCGTCCTCTTGTGTCACTGCAGCTTTTATTCCCTTATTTTAATTTCAACCTTTAGCTTTGTCTCTTTCTTTTGTCCCAGAGGACAAAGTGTCCTGTGACAGTGTCTCACATTGTGATTCGAGCTCATCAGAGCGGCTCAGTGTGAGTGACGGAGCTGTGGGTGGAGAGCGACTGTGAAAGTCTGTCTGTGCTCGAGCAGAAGAAAGTGACCGTTCACGTGTTCTGTGGAAACTTCAGTTTGCTGTGAAGTCGTTGTTCCGACTTCAGAGTTTAATTCTGTTGGAAATCAAATATGTTGCATTCGTGTGTTTAGAGTTCAAACGACGGAACGACGATCACTTTACAATATTTAGACAATAAGAACAGATGAACAGAAGCTTCTATTTAGAGCTGACTGTAAAATGATGAAACGTATAAGATAAGAGTTTGTAGATGTTTCAGCTTCATGTTTGAACAGTGGGAGGAAGTGAGTCCATCTTTATTTACGCTTCATGTTGAAGGAAACTAAAAACATTTAACTTGAGAAGCTACAGGAGCGATTACATTTATATTTATATTTATATTCATATTTATATTTATATTTATATTTATATTCATATTTATATGTTCTCAGGACAAAAGAAAAGAAAAACAACAAGTAAACGTGTCAGTTCAACACAACACACTGAGAACTGCAGATGATAACAAAACAATACTTTTAGATACTTTCAGATACTTTCAGATACTTCCAGATACTTTCAGATACTTCTAGATACTTGCAGATACTTTGTTTGTGTCTCTTCCTCAGAACCCTTGAGCAGGTCAGTGTCGAAGTTTCATCCAAAGTTTGTGAAAGTTACACTCCTCGTGGGACGGATTCTGTTCTGAAGTCGAAAAGCAACGTGTCAATTAACACGTTCATAACAGTTTCCAAGTGTGTGTGTGCGTGTGTGTGTGCGTGTGTGTGTGTCTGTCTATCTCGTTCACAGACCCGTTTTGTTTTCTCACACAAAACGTTTCCCTGTTTGTTTCCACCACAGATTTTAAAACGTCTGCGTCGTCAATTGTTTCTTGTTTCAGACGAAAAATAAAAACATCATTGTCTCCTTTCTGAAACTCAGTCGCTCGTCTCGTGTTCACACTGTGTCACCGTGCGACAAGATGGTCGTTATGCAACACACTCATTCACTTTGTCAAGAGGTCTCTGTGTGTGTGTGTGTGTGTGTGTGTGTGTGTGTGTGTGTGTGTGCACAACAACACACACACACACACAGTCCCTGTAACTCTATTCTGCAGTTAAATAGTGTCATTGTGTGTTTGCTCCTGAAAAGGAAACGGTAGTTTTGGATGAGTGTGTGTGTGTGTGTGTGTGTGTGTGTGTGTGTGTTGTGGAAGTGCAGGTATGTGGGATCTGTGCACACCCTAACACACACACACACACACACACACACACACACACACAGTAAGCCTGCAGCTGCTTGTTCTGAAACGTGCTGATGCAGCAGCTTCAGGTCTGAGTTTAATACAAAGTGATGTGAGCGTCGAGAGAAGAGAAGAGTTGAGAACTCTGTGAAAGGATTCAGATTTTTAACGAAGCACGAGAGGCAGAGACGAAGGGAAAGAAAAGACCTTTGTGACGACAGCACGCAGATCGTGGTTTTACAGTTTGGCGTCGAGATCGACAGTTGGCATTTTGAGTATTTGGTTTCCAGAAAGTGGGTGTGTTGCCGGCCGTGGTTTAAAATAATACACTAATCTTTCCTCTTACACAACACAGACAACATGTCACTGTGGTCGTTCTGATGCAACAAGTTGTGAGTCCTTGTCGTCAAACAAACGCCCACAAGCCAATCTGAGTTGTTATTGGGATCTGGGTAGAAGCCAAATAGAGATGAACGTGTTTCATCTAACAACAAACTAGAAGCACATGACCGGGTCCCTGCCCCATGTCCTGTGTCTCCATGTCAAACCTGTGTTTTCATTAATCATCCAGCCACAGTCTCACGACGAACCCAAACATACTCACGCTTCTCATAAGTTTTTACCGACCACACAGACAGTCAGTCCTCGTGGTTTCGGCTGAAGTTGTGCTCGTACCCGCGAGTAGCATCGATCCGGTTCTTTCTCTCACTTCACGTCTTTCACTCTGTGCCCATGCACCCCCGCTACCGCCATGGAATATCCGCTGAGAGAGTGAATACAAAGTTCCAACTGGACGTTTCATGGAAACTCGAAATCCTGCGAACAAACAAATAAATGCAGATGAAAACATAACGTCTGCGGTGAAGGTGATTAAAACCAAACTGATCACAAACACTTTATTTAACATCTGCTTTCATTTTTTTGTTTGGTCCATGTCCCATCAGCTAACATGGAGGAGGCCGGGTCTATGACCTTTACAGCAGCCAGACACCAGGGGGCGATCGTGTTGATTTGGATTGGTCACGTCGTCCATCTTTATTTACAGTCAACGATCCAAACAAACAACAACTCTTCAATAACGTTTCTTCCCAAAATCAGTTTTTCAAGATTTTCCGACTCTTTTCTTCTCTTTCCCTCGACGCTCTCGTCACTTTGGATTAAACTCTGAAGTTGCTGCATCAGATGGAGTTCATGACCAATAACACAGTCAGCCACCAGGGGGCGAACCAGACGCTTTGGCTTCACTGTTGGCCGCTGTCATGTCGTCCATCTTTGCCGTCCGTGACTTACAGAGCCGACAGAGAACAGCCTCCATGAGAAGCTCTCGTTAATGGAAGTTGTGTTTTTCTTGTTTCTGGTTCGAGTGTGTGCAGAGATTCCAGGGATCAGAGATTCCAGGGATCAGAGATTCCAGGGATCAGAGATTCCAGGGATCAGAGATTCCAGGGATCAGAGATTCCAGGGATCAGAGATTCGGGACGGTTTGTTCGGATGCGTCAGATCCTCAACACGAGGCCTCGACACGTCACTCGGATCTGGATCCAAACCAACGAGTCGTCCGACTTTAATGAGGAAATAAATCATTGTTATCATCAGAGCAGTCGCTCATCCGGTAGCTCCACATTCTCACTGTGGCCAAAAAAATCCTCTTACGACATTGATCTGTGAATCACTTCACACGTGCTGCTGTGTTCTCTCTCTCTCTCTCTCTCTCTCTCTCTCTATATATATATATATATATATATATATATATATATATGAATATATGAATATACGTGGATCTGAACTTATCAGCGTTGAGTTGTAAAGAGTCGCTCCCTCCTCTTTGAGCTGGAGACGTTGATATTAGCTGAGTGTCTCTCATCTGAAAATAGGTTTAAAATATACATTTTCTTTGAAAGTCTCCTCCCACATCGCAAAAATTGTACAAATACGCCGCAGCAGTACCGCACTTCGGCCAGAGGTGGCCTGAATGTGTTGGTAACACAAGGTTGAAGTTTCTCTGCAGTTCATAACCAGTCCGTCCACTTCTCATGTCGCCTTCAGCATTTACTTCTCCTCACTTGCTTCCTCCGTCTTGTTGGTGAAGCACCGGCGTCACTGACCCACTGGTTTTAACCAAACAGATACTGTGAACCCGTGTGTTTCCACAGGGCTGAGCGTGACTCACCCCGATGACGAGTGACTCACCTCAACACATGATCAGGAAAAAACAGTCGTTCACCTGCAAACAGGAAACTCATGACGGACAGCGGACCTCTCCTCCGTTAACTGAGGTTGCGTCGACAGTCGTCACAGCGCTGCCAAACTGTTTCTGTTCAAAATCCAAATGTGGTTGATCCTGAAAATAAAACGATGGCAGGATAAAAAATCCTCCGACTTCCACACACTGAGTTCATGTGAGCAGAGATGCAGAGAAAGCAGCTGTGAGTTCAGAACATCGTCAGCTTCATGTGTCTGTTCATGTTTCATCGTTCAACATTGTCTGTGTGTCGGTCAGACGGCAAACTTTTGTTTCACTGGAGAAAATGTTGAAAACTTGAAGCTCCAGTTCGACCAACTGACCAATGAAGCTCGACCCCGGAGCAGGTTCCATGATCTGAAACAACACTGGTGGAATAATGAAGACACGAAGACTCTGTTGAACTTATATAGAAAGCAGTTTGTATCTTTTGTGTAAATATTTTCCCTCGTAAGAGTTCGAACTGTGACCTAGTTTTCAGGATCCAGGCGGAAAGCCAACAAAAGGTTTGACTGCTGAGTTTTATCAGACTGTAGATAATGTCACAACCTGCTGGGCCAGTGTGACTTCTTCTCTCCGCCCGCCTGCAGCACGCTGTGTGTTCACCAACCAGGAGAATCTGCTCTGCACTATGTTGACTTATTTCAAATACTGCAGAGTGACAAACAGCACAACCTGCAGCACAGCGGCGTTCAGTCTGAGCAGCGACACCTCACCCCACTGTACAAACACGAAGTCAGACGTTCCATGAACACGGATGTTTACGACCTGTTACGGACGTTAAATACCTTCCTCAACTGCTGATTACTCCTTTAAATAAGGCCCCAGTCATAAAGGGTTTGTTTGCTTTTCATCTTATTCATGATGATTAAGTCATTTACTTACAGAGATCAGTTAAAACCTTTAATATGAACATTTGATTTGCAGGTTGGAACGACTGCGGTCGACTGTTTCACCTCTTATCTAAAATGTATTTGATTAAAATTTGCAGCTGTGGAATTATTGACCCTTGTGACTTATTAACGTGTGAATAGTTTGACCGGCTGGTGATTATCGTACAGAACTTATCATCTAAAGAGCCGTGAGATAAGGCATAGAAAGATTTGGCGAGATACAAAAAAAGTAAAACTGAATTGAATTTGAATGATGTGGAGGCAACATGAGCTGGTTCTGAAGTTCATGTTCCGTAGTGAGGCTGCTGTAAATGTTAGCATGATGCTAATGAAGGTTTGGGTCTCCTCAGTGTCAGGACCCAGTGACTGATTCACCTCCACACATGAACACACAGACAATCACTGAGGACGAAACCAGATCACACACGTCCTGCGTTCGTCTTTCAATTTCTTCACGTGTCCTGTGGGAGCAGAGACGATGAGTCCGTCTCCTTCAGACGATCTCTGTCCCGTGTAGAGGCAGTAATCTGTCTAATGACTTGATCCCTGTGTGGCAGATGGAGCTGTGTGTGTGTGTGTGTGTGTGTGTGTGTGTGTGTCTGTGTGTGTGTGTGTCTGACCTCTGACCTTTAACATCTTGTCTTATTAACCATGACGACACTTTGGTTGCGTTCAGGTGAAGCAGGTTGAAGTCGACGTGTAATTTATCACCACAGGGACCTAGAGTCTGGGGGGGGGGGGGGTTCCATTTCACACATCATGTGACCTGCACCTGCACACTTCCCCGTCAGCGTTTCCCACAATGCAGCAGTTTATAATGAAGAATTAAGAGAGAGAGAGAGAGAGAGAGAGAGAGAGAGAGAGAGTGAAGGCAGCCAGAAGTACGGCCTTCAAAATAAAAGCATTGACCTCAGTAATGAACTCATTAACGGCTGTTACAGAATATGTGATTGTATCTTCCACCTACCTGGGGTCGGGTTGCCATGGCAACAGGCAAATCAGGATGCTCCGGACACCCAGCTCCTCCCCGGTGGATCCAGGGGCGTTGCTAGGCCTGATGGGATATACAGTATGACCCCCGAACAGAGTGACCTCCTCAGCTGCCGTAGTTACAACACGCGTGTCACAACAGAGAGTCCAACGCAGCATTTTACATTTAGGATCACGTACGGTGAGAGCGGGGGGTGGGGGAAGATGTTGACCAATCAGAGACTCTCTCAGGATCCAGTGTTTGAGACAGAGGCTGAACAGAGGAGCTGCAGCGATGGACAGATGTTTATCTGAACATCAGGGCATGAAAACATTTTTACATTCATATCATTTACTAATTAATATCAAGGTCACATTTCTTTGAACACGAGATTGAATTAAGTGTCTCAGAAACATCCCCTCACACCTTTAACGACATGTCTCCGTCTCTGTCCTTCTTTTTTATTGTGAGCACTATGGTTTTATTCTGAAGTTTCTCACCAGAGGAGGACTTCCGTGTTGTGAGCTGGTTGGCTTGACAACAGAGAGACGAGGGGAGGGGGGAGGGGCCTGAGCAATGACGAAGACCAATGACAGGACAGGTAGCCACAGGTGAGCGCGCGCGCGTACAGACACACACACTCACACACACACACACACGCACACACGCACACACTAGTGGAACTAGAGAAGTTTGGTCCATTTCACTTCCCGGAGCTTCAGCCGCAGTCGATCCGGACTCCGAGCTCATTGACCGGGATCAGGATCGTCCTCGTGTCCCTGAAGTTCGATCTGTGAACCACTTCCTGTTCGGAGCCGGTGCTGGACGGTCTGACCCGCTTCTCTCCGGAGGACCATGTTTTATTAGGACGATCTTATCCGGACAGAAGCACCATGATCAACTCGGAGGGTCTCCGGCCCAGCTCCAACGGCAGGAAGCCGCTGGGGAAGCTCGCCTCCCGGCTGGAGGAGGTGAAGAACCCGTGGCGACAGGTGTCCACGCTGGAGCTGAGCCACAACGAGGCGGCTCGTCTGGCCACGGACGCGCTGCTGGAGCTCGGGGAGAAGGAGTACCGCCGGGTCCTGGCCGAGGAGCGGGAGCTCAACTTCCTCTCCCCGCAGGAGATCCGCTACATCAGCCAGCATGCGACCAAGACCTGCGGCCCCGACACCAACGGGACCAACGACCGGGACTTCGGGGACGCAGACGTCGTGTCCCAGCTCACCTCCGGGACTTACTTCCCCATGATGTCCGACGAGGAGCCACCGATGCTGGAGCTCGGCTGGCCCGAGTCCCCGGCGAGGTACGGTCCGTCAGAGACTCAGATCTACTTCCAGAGGGACAAGTCCCACAACATGAAGGACCTGGTCCGGTCCCTGATCAACAAGGCCAAGAAGGTGAGACCCGGACCGTCCGTGGATCCTGAGCATATAATCATAAAATACATCATGATACGTCATATATACTATTTAATACATGAGAA